GCTGGGGCCTCGCTGGGGCCTCGCTGCTGCACACTGGGGCCTCGCTGGGGCCTCGCTGGGGGAGCCGCTCCCAGGGCTCCTGGCGTCTTGCTGCAGAGGCTCCCTGGAAACTTCTGCTTTCCCCCCTGGCGGAGAGGGGGCCAGGGACGCAGTGCCTGGGTTTCTGCTCTCGTCCATGTGGCAGATTACTACAGTCCCGCCATGCTGGGCCTGAAGACAGACCAGGAGGTCCTGGGGGAGCTGGTGAGGACCAAGCTGCCGGCGGTGGCGGCCCTGATGGATGGGCACGGCGTCCTGTGGACCCTGGTTGTGTCGCGCTGGTTCATCTGCCTGTTTGTGGACATCCTGCCCGTGGAGGTGAGCACGGCGTGAGCCTTGCTGGGACCAGGGCCGTGCGGGCCGCCCCCCCCCCCCCCCCCCCCCCCGCCCCGTGGTGCACCATTTGTTTCTCCACAGACGGTGCTCCGAATCTGGGACTGTTTATTCAACGAAGGATCCAAGATTATCTTCCGGGTGGCCCTGACCCTGATTAAGCAGCACCAGGCCTTTATTTTGGAGGCGACCAGTGTGGCAGACATCTGTGAGAGGTTCAAGGAGATCACCAGGGGGAGCTTTGTGACCGAGTGCCACACCTTCATGCAGGTGAGTGTCTGGGGTGGGCTCTGCTCCACGGCCCGTTAGCCCGGGGGAGAACCAGTCTGCATGTCCCTGTCCCTTCTGGGCCTCGGCCTCGGTGGCCCCCTCAGCCCTCCCAGGCCCACCTCCTCCCGGAGCTCCACGACAACAGCTGCCCCTCCTATTGGGCCGGAAGCCCCGTGACAGGCTTCAGGGCGGCTGGGACCCCCATGGGACCAGTCCAGGCTCACTGGGTCAGAGCACAAACCCGTCGATCCGCCATCCCATTGGAGCCCTTCCCCTGCTGCTGACATCTCTGGTTCCGGATGGCTCTCCTTGGCCCCAGTAGGGTTGCACAGGTCTGTTGTCTGTCCTACCCTGAAGGGCAACTTCCTCAACTGGGTCCTGAACCCAGGACCAGCGTGTAGACCACTCAGATCTGCTGAGTGAATGAAGCAGGAGCCAAAAGGCCTGACAGGCCTTCTGAGGAGGCCGCAGAGGCTGGGAGAGGCAAATTTTAGGTTTCCCCCTTTCCACCTGAAAGAATCACCAGCGCGGGGGAGGTGACGGAGGGCGCCAGGAAGGCCAGTGGCCAGGGGGTTCTGCCCGCCTTCCAGGAGGTAGCAAGACCCCAGCTCTGCTTGGGGCATGGGCAGCTGTCAGGCGACAATGGACCGGCGGCCTTCTGCAGGCAGGACTGCCCTAGAATCGAGGACGTTGCCGGTGCGCGACTGGAGCGTCCTCCAGCCGCGTGGAGTGAGGCAGCCCCACAGAGCAGCCTGGACAGAGCCAGAGGGAAACTGGGGCCTGTGCCCCAGGGCTCAGGAGAGGGTGGCCTGCTCTCTGGCTGCAGTGCTGGGGACCCCAGTCGCCAGGGCTACAAGCGTTTTCTGAATGGTAGGGCCCGGATGGGGAAGGCGGGACCGAACCCTACGGCCGACTCACTGAGAGGAGCCCGTCATGCAGGACCGACCGCCTCGCCCAGAAGGGCTTCTCTGTCCCCGCTAGCCCTTTGCTGCCAATGTTAGGGGCAGAGTCAAGCAGCAGAGGGCAGGGGTGTGAGTCTGGGAACGAGTCTGTGATGTGTCCAAGAGTGGACAGGACTCTAGCCCACCCTTTCTGCACCCCCACTGCAAGCCCCTCGTGTGTCAGAGAGCTGCACTGGAGGTGGCTCGGTTTTCCGTTGAATGAGCTAGGGAAGCTCACGTGTAGGAAGCTACACATACGACAGCTTGGGGGTCTCTGGTACGTTCCTAGGTTGTGCGGCCGTCACCCATGCCCCGACCCCACCCAGCAGTCCCCAGTCTGTCTGTGGGTTCGCCTCCGTGTGTGACGCTGGCCGAGGACCTGTGCGCGCACACACGGCTAGTGCTCCAGAAGCGCTAGCATGTAGAGCGCGCCGCAGGTATTCCCAGAGCTGCCGGGGGAACGTGCAGATGAGCACGAGGCTGCGAGGCCGGCTCCGCCAGTCTGCCCACAGGGACACGAAACTGCTGTGTGTGGTCCCGCAGCGCGGATGCACCCCTTGGAGGGAAGTTGTTGGGGAAGTGGCCCTGGGACAGTGTTTCTGCATTAAAGCACGCCGGCACAGTAACCGCAGCTCGTGAGTCAGGGCTCTCTGCGGTCCCGTGCAAGAACATCTAGAACGTTCTGGAGAATTAAAAGCAGTGACCTCCCACGAGCTCAGTGCAACCATTGCAGGAAGAACGCGGCTCCACGCCCACGTCCCCGCACCCGGCAGAGGACGCACCTGCTCCCATTTTTCAGGAACGTGGCCTGTTAGAACATAAACACCCTGACCTCAGCGCCAGCTTAACAGGCACGCACCTGTGGAGGAATTTCAAAAAACCCTTCTAATGCTAGACTTAGCGTTTGGCCTAGTTTGTTAACCATGAATTTCTCAGCCATAACTGCCAGAATTACCCAAATCGTTAGGCATAGAAGATGTGACGGCGTGGCCCCCCGCTCCCCAAGGGCTCAGTCAGGCTGGTTTCAGAGCCGCCGCAGGCCCTCGGGGTTCAAGGGTCGGCACAAGCACCCCTCCCCCACCACTGGCAAGTCCTTACCTGGTGCAGGTGGGGGTGCTGCTGAGCTGGTTTCTTATGTGGACTTTCTCTTCCAGAAAATATTCACCGAGCCTGGGAGCTTGTCCATGGCCACCATCATCAGGCTGCGCGAGAGCTGCAGGGCCAGGCTGCAGGCGCAGAGCTGACCAGGGCTCCTGTTCGCCGGGGCCGCAAGGCTTCATTTCCAGGGCTGACCAGTTTTTACTGCTTCCCTTCTTAGTGCTGTGAATACTGTCTCTACACTCGCGAATTTTTTAAAAGAATGATTTAGAATTCTGTCATTCTGTAACTCAGTATGGGCTATGAAGTCATAAATTTCTAAAAATGTGTTTTTACTTGAGATGTTCACCCATAAAATGTGAGATGTACGTATTTGTAATAAAGTATGTCAACACTATGAGTTTGTGATCGTCTACTGATTGATGAAAACCAAAACAGCAAACGGTCATTAGCGTTATTAATACCAAATATTCTTCCATTCCTTTCTGGGGCACAGCATTTACTGTTACACGAGGTTTGTACACACAGCACGTGATTGCTCTTTAGACAAGTGATTTTTAAAAAAATGACTTTTGAAGTTACCGTATCATGTGAATAAAGCAGAGGGAAGTGGGTGAGCCTTAGGGAACGGCAAGCATCTGCCTTGGGTCCGTGAGTGCAGCCGCGGTCACCCCAGATCCCTGGAGGACGACCCAGCAAGACACCGGTCTCCCTGACCCCGACCCGGTCTCCTGGCCCCAGTGGTGCCGCTGCGGCTGCAGACAAAGGCCCTCATGGAGGAGGCGTTACCTGTCAGCACCCCCGCGGCTGCGGTTTCACCCCTAGATGGAGGCGCATTCCAAGGCACTGGGCAATGGCAGCTGTGCGGATGGCAAGGGCCCGGCTGTCCTCACTTCCAGCCCAGCCACAGCAGAGGTACTGCCCTTACCCTGCGTCACAGGTGACGCTGCACTGGGACCACACTGCATGCACAGATGCTCTCGTGGGGAGGGAGTGGTGGCCGGGGCAGGCCGCCAAAGCCTAGCGAGCCCCAGAGGCCGCACTTCACGGTGCAGTGCAGCGCGGGCTCACCAGTGTGGGGTCGGCACAGTTGCCGGGGGAGGCCTGACACACACCAGCCGTGTGGCCCCAGGGCCTGCCAGTACGCAGGTGCCGCTTGGGGACGCTCCAGTCCCAGGGCTGCCTGGCAGGCAGGTTGGCTTCAACCTCAGCCAGTAAGGTCCATAAATCCTCAGAAGGCACAGGTCTTTGCTTAAAAAGGAAAGATTAAAATGAATCTCAGGCTTCAGCTCCTGCTCTAAAAGCCCTTGAGCACAGCAACGGGGCCTCCTGCTGCCCCCATCCTGGAGGAGATGAAGGCGGCCCGTCTTCCTAGTGCGGCCCTGCAGGAGTCTGCAGCACCTGCTGGCGCTTGTCCTCGTCCTCGCCGTGTGGGTGGGACTCGGTGCGTCCCTGCTCAGTCACAACTCCTGTTTGTCCTGCAAGTTACCCAGTAAGACCAGCAGCAACACCAGCTCTCCCCAAAGCTGGGGGCACTGGCAGACACCTGCCCTCCGCCCGTGCACCTTGGACGAGACCTCCCATGAGCGCAGGCAGAAGGACGAGGTCCAGACAGAGAAAGAAAGAGATGCTTTATTAGCATTGTTACAGCAATGCGTGACATGAAGGGTCCTCAGTGCACAGCCTCCCGAGCGGCAAGCGGGTAGATCAGTGTGATACCCAGTATTTACACAAGTGCAGAACAGGATCACCCTGAACCTCAAACAGAAGACTGGAAATCACTTTACAAAAAGGTAAATAAAAATAACACCCATTTATCTATTTTAAAAAAAGTGCCAGCTCTTGAGTGGCAGAGCATGGAAAGACCAAAGGCCCTGACGCATAGGAGCGCCCTTGCCCGAGTACTGAGCTGTGCCGCCTGGGGGGCAGGGGGCAGGGCCTGTCCTGGCTTCTAAAGCTTAATTTAAGCGTTCCAGATCTTCATCTTTTGGAGTACTTCTGTTTTAAGATCTTCTTTCTCTACTAATTTCTTAAGCATAGCAGCCTAACACCTAGCCAGCCCTCCTCAGAGGTCCTAAGGTCAAGACCAGGGACCCTCCCTTGGCAAGGCTGAAATCTCAGTCAAGAATGAAGGGGCCAAACACCAGAATCTTAAAAAGCCAAATGACAGTGGAGCCAGTGCCCCTCTTAGAAAAGCACACTCTTACCCTCCCACCTTAAAGTTCTACTTTGGTAAATATTAACGTTGAACCATTAGCAAAATATTTAACCCAGTTAGCAAAATTAACACCGTCGTTTCAAAGTTACTCTTGTGCATAGTAAATGTTGCAAGATGAACTTCACATTGGATAAAGCAGATCTGAAATCAGTTTGCAAGAAAGTGCGCCTCCCTCAACACCAACCGAAGCCCGGGGAAAGGAGCAGAGAGCCTGCAGCGGCCGCTGCCCCGCGCCTCTCGCGGCCGCGCTAAATGGTCTGGTAGCCGGCATGGCTTCTCTTCCTGCCGACGAGGTAGGCGATGAGGACGATGAGGACCAGCCCTGCTAGGGCACCGCCCACGGCAATGGGGATCAGCATGCCGTTCTCATCCAGCTGGCACTCCTCCACTGCGGGGACAGGGGGCACGCGGCGCTCACACCGGGCGACCTCACGGGCCTCCCCTGCCTCCCCACCCATTCCCACAGCCCGGCTGGGGGGCGTGAGTTCTCATCGACTACCGCGGGGACACAACACGCCACACGGCTGCGTCCCCATACCCTGCTCTCACAGGGGAAGACACATGCCGGCTCCGAAAAGGACCTTTGCACCACGGTGCCGCGTGCTCACATCTGTAGATGCTGGGCTTTTCGAAGGCAAAGGGATGCCAGAAGGGGAATTGCTCTAAATGATTAAATTTCCAAACAGAACCACAGCCTGCAGACCCCGTGCAGGGTCTGAAATGCTGCCCTCGGTGCTACTCACCAGACCCAAACTTGTCTCCTTGCACCTGGAAAGCCTGAACCCACACTTTGAAGATGTTGATGGAGAAGGCCTCTGTGACCTGCACGCGCTCCTCAGCGTTACATTTGTACGAATTCCCGATGGTAGCCTGAAGGGCCTTCAGAGAGCTGTTGGCGGCCTTAAAGGTGGGATCTGCAAAGGCAGGTGAGACTGAGTGCTCCGGGGCACCTGGACGGGCAGGGGAGTTGTGGGGGTCTTACCTCTGGCGTCAGGAAGAGTCATATTCAACTGGATTCCTTGCAGGAAATACCGGTTAGTACTTGCATTCTTAAAGAGAAGAAGGTAATCCTTAACCACTTGCCAGACACATGTTTACTGTCAAACCTGAAGGGTCATCTGGTAATAAATTTGACTCCTGCATTTCTAGCTTCAGCATGAAGCCGTGGGGTATGCGGTCTGTGTAAGGCATCCCGTAAATCTCGAGAACACAAATGCTCATTAGTTCCTTCTAGAACTTTTTTTACAGAATCCGACTCTGCTAAACTAGGGATTGAAGAAGCCATATTCTAAAAAAGCAAGCTTTTCCCAAAGTTTGCTGAACTTTAGGAACGTAAACTTTGTTAGGAGAAACCCAACTGTTAATCAGCTCATCTGCAGTATGTACTACAAACGCTCGCAGACGGTACTTCTATTCTTCCCATATGATTTTGCTAGCTTCACAGAGGACTCATCCCAGACGGGTATAAGGAAGAGAAGAGCCAAGACCCAGAGACGCTGCCCCTCAAGGAAGGGGTGACGACAGTGTGTGAGGTGGGAGGCTGAGCTGAGCGCAGCTGGGCGCGGAAGGTGGCTGTGGGCAGGCCGCAGGCGCTCCCTCACATCTGCCACATAAAGAACCAACTGAGGCATTCCTTAATAAAAACAGGATTGGTGGGGGGGGGGGGGGTGAGGATCCAAAACACCAGCAAAAAAAGAAGGCGGAGAAAGCAGACTCCCCTTCTTCACTAAGGCAGGGCTGTGGGTTTTGCTATCTTCATCCGATCTTCACTCCAGCCAGCGCACAGAGCGCTCAGGCCAATGGCCGCCACGCAGCGGCTCTGACATCAAAGCCCCGAGAGCACCAGGAACGTGCAGCCTCACCATTCCAAAATGGAAGGCCAGGAGAGAGACGCTCTCGCTGCGGAGCTCCAGGGTCACCAGCTGGGGGCCGCAGCTCCCTCCGGCAGTGGTCTTATTCGGGTTGATGCTGAACACTCTCGTCATGGTCTAAGTAAAAAAAGCAAACAAGTTACCATTCTATTTCATGCCCTGGGTCCTCCATACTCTGGAAAAACAAAACTAATCTTAAAGTAAGAACTTCAAGGCCACCATCATTTTAACCAAAACCAGAAAGAAAACATCCGAAGTTTACTCTAGCACAGATTTCTGGGTTCCAAAACCATTTTTCCTGCTCCTCCTGGTTGCTATTTTCACAAGGACACACACTTGCCCCTCCACCCCATCTCCCGACAGCCACACGCCTCACACCCATCCCAAGCACGTTCCCTGCATAGCCCCAAAGACTTGGTCACCAGTAAGGAGAAATATTATTTCAAAGGAAAAGCATAAAAAAACGTTGGAGTGGTAGAGTTTTAAAGCAAAATTTAACGTTCTCTTTGGGGTCAATAAACTTGTCCTGCAGTGTGCCAAACAACACACGTCTTTGGCTTTGGGGACCACCCTACAACTCCTTAATTGTTTCAGGGAAAAGCAGCCCCTGGTATGTGGACAGGTGGGTATGGCGTGGCTGTGTGCCGAGAGGCTGACCACAGCACAGGCACAGGCACCGTTCTCACACCTCCACGCAGTGTCCTGCTGCTCATGTACCAACACTCCCACCACAGAAAGAAGGGCTCTGGGGGCTGAGCCTACCGTGTTGTCCTTCTTCTCGTAGGTGACGTTCAGCTGCAGCCCCATGTTGGCCAGCAGGCAGGTCCCATTGCTGCCGCTCACATTGTACTTGTACACGGGGGGGTTCTCGGGCGCTGGGGATGGCGAAGGGTGGGGAGGCGGCGGCGGCGCCGTTGTCGGGAAAGGCCCGTCTTGCTCACAGTGCGTCTCTGGACCGACAAGTGGGAAGAGAGACAAAGTCCGAGTTCCTCAGAGCTACGGCACCCCCTCAGACTCTCAGCTAGCCCCACCCGCAGAATGCCATTTCTCAGTCTGCTCCAGGATGGCACGTGCCTACCCCACTCTGTAAGTACAGGACTGGCGGGCGCCGCTGTCCCATAGGGCCATCCCCACTCCTGCCACCGCACCATGGTTCTGACTGGATGCTCTTCCAGCTCAGCCTCTGGGCAACCCTGCCCTCACAGATCTATCCCCTCTGCATGACAAACCTTCCTTCGTACTGTGAAAGAAAGAAAACCTTCACCATCACCTGCCGCCGGGACCGGCGGCCACACACCACTGCAAATA